GGATTCGAATAATACCGCGCAGGCCACTCGAAAACCTTCGACGGGCCACAGTTTAATTCATTTTGTTTTATCAATTTTTTTATGGTCTATTATGTTGATTTATGGAGTTGAAATTAAGAACAACATGAAAAAGATGACTCAATCACTGTTTTTTAGTTTGAATTTTTGCAGAAATTTTGTTTTTTCATGTTTTAATCTATGTAAGATATGATAAATAACTGGCCCTGATAAACATGCTGGAAATTGGATGGGGTCAATAGGAAAGTGGTATTTAACTTGGCAGCCATGAATCTGGCGATGATTACTAGAGCTGGGCATTTCGAATCGAATAGTAAATTATTCGAATCGATGCCATTTTTTTTCTCGCCAATGGTCGAGATGAATTTCTCCATTTTTTTTTCATTGAAGCCATATTTTTTCAACGCAGATCTGACATATGACTCTTTTCTGTAGTGAGTTATTGATGAAAACGTGTTTTATATTGTGTGTGAACGCTCAGCAATCTGCCTGAGTGATGTTTTCTATGTTTCATTTATGCCATGTGTATGGAGGACATGTTACATACAATTCACAATTTTATATCTCCCAAGTATTCGAGATTCGATTCGAGAAAAATATTTGATTTGATTCTGAAATCATCGGGTATTCGAAAATCCCCAGCCCTAATGATTACATATGTGTGATATGTAATAGGTGGAAATTAGATGGGGTCAAGGAGAATATAGTATTTAAACATGGCAGCTATGAAACTGGTGATGATTACACATGTAATAGGAGTTTGAGTCACCTTATGGCAATCCACATGAAGGTTAATAATACAATTACTGGACATCTATCCTTGTTCTTGTTGTTAATTCAAAAGTTATGCACAGCTGTGAGATACCCAGTTACAGAAAAAATATTGTTGAAGGAGACTAATTAATTTTGTCCGCATGTGCGAATTAAATTCATTGGGTAAAAATTCTGTCACTGTTATAACATCAGAATTGAATCAGATTCTGATTATTTGGGAGTTGAATGCAAGTTTTCCCAGGCTCTATACCAGAGGTGGGTAAGGTTTTTGAACTAGGGGCCAAATATTTTGCCCACCTATACTGGCGGGCCATGCAAGTGTGACGTAAAAACATTTCAAACAAAACTATTTAGTGTTACAATAGCAAAACTGGAAAACAATAAGCCTCGTGCCAAAACTAAATTTAATCGCAATTTTGATAAATTCCTTGAGCTATTTTTTTTTAGCTAAAACATCAAATTTTAGTTTGGTTGTGGGAGCATCAAGCGGGCCAGATTGAATTACCCAACTGGCCGTAGTTTGCCCATGTCAGCTCTATACTATAGCTATGGTTATAAAGCGCGATGGCCAACAGGTTGAGGCGTTGGATTTACCGTAATCAACTTTGTATCGTAGGTTGCATTTCTCAGCTTCAACGAATGCCTTGCTTGGACATCGCGTAAGGCAGCAGTTCCCAAACTATTTATTCGTACTGTGCCATATTATCTGGGGGAAAAGCTTACGGCACACTTATACGAAAAAAATGCTGCTTTTAAATAAAACTTGATCGTGTTATGTGTACTTTTACGTTGGTCTCTCAAATCCGGAAAAAGAGAGAAGAGTCGTTTATGTTGGCACGCACCGGAGCTGCTAACTCGCAACAACAAAACAGCTGATTAACACCCTTCTATCGGCGCCGCAAATTGCTCTTATGTTATTATGTTGACTACGGTCTATCTTTGTCGAGGTACCGGCACCGGTGTATCACTCAGCATCAGTACCGGTACCGGTACGATCGTTATGACATTATAGCATTATAAGTAAAAAAAACAAATTTGTCTATTAACCGCCGATCAGAAATTTACGTTTGTATTGATACATATACGGTAGGATAGGATTTAGGATAGGATTTACATATTTATCCCGGGGGAGAGGAAAGCCGATAAGACGGCTTATTCATATGGCGAACCACGGCCTCTCGTCCGGTTACCATTCCAAGTCGGGTATGGGATTAGATTTACTGTATTGTTTGTTTTCGGAAGCATGGACTTGGTGGTGGAGGAAGCCGTAAACGACCAGCGGTTACGTGAACCACCCAACGACGGCGAGGAGTCCAGCAATCCTCTCGCACATAACCATCCCTGCATGGGATTCGAACCTGCGAACCCATGCAGAGTAGTTAGAGGTGCGGTGGCGAGCGTACCGGTATTCCTAACGCTTAGCCCAGTAGCCCGTTGAGCCACACCGCCGCGCCGTAGTATTTTAGTTGGAAAGAGAGGTTCCGCGAGTGGAGAGAAGAATTTGAGACTGGGATTCAAATCGGGATCGGAGCTACGTCTTAGGGCCGTTACGGTACCGGTATCTAGTCTACTTATCTGGGAATGTGATATCTTCCAGTCTTTAGATGAAGCTCGTGATAATCATAAAGAAACAAAAGTTGTCTGATGGTCAGACATGATTTTCACAGCTGGATTTTCAAGCGTTCGACAAAAAGAAACGGAATGTTAGTTTAGGATATCAGTCGACATGTCTGCATACTAAAAATTTTGGCTTTGTAAAACTGGTTGAAAAAAGTTCTAACCATTTCTGCATTTACTTAAACAAAAAGCAACGCCCTAAACTAGTTATCGAGTTTCTACATTTGTTTGTTTACTTTTTTGCTTTGTTTATTTACTAAGAATATGAAAAACAGCAGCTAATCCTAATCACTTAGATTTCATTATTAGGATTCGCAACTCGGCACATGCATCGTCACAGGCGGTAACTCTCATTCTACAGTTCTACTTATTTCGCTATCTTCACCACTTTTACCCATTAAATTTATATACAACTGTAAAATTAAGCTTAGCCCGTGAATATCACTTTCTCGTGTTCATGAATTTTTTTAAGTTAGATTGTCGTGATGTGTTTTTCTGCTTGCAGACTTGTGTGAGTGAATAGGCACAGTCGCACAGATGCTGGTTACAACGTTTGCTATAATCCTTCTAGTTTTTGCCCATTTTCCCGGTCTTTCTGTCGCCATTCTCTGTGTATTGTTTTTTTGTGTGCGTTCTGTATTGTAGACGAAAGATCGAAATAAAATTGTATTGTATTGAGTTCCTGTACCAGTACGGTACCATACAGCCATACTGCTGTACTGGTAGCAGTTTGTCAGTTTATTTTAATATGATCAGGAAAACGGCTTCGGGGTACCGGGTATTGATTCCATACGTCACATATTGAAATTTAACGAAGCATAATCCAATGTCCTAAAAATTACCGGTAACAAAGTGCTGTCATGGCTCAGTGCTGCAGTGGTGTGGTGCATCGTGCTGAGTTTTAAGAATACCTGAATACCCTCGTCACCACACCTCTGATTACCCTGTGTGGGTTTGAATCTCTTGCGAGATAAATTATGTGCAAGAGGATTGCTGGGCTCCTCGCCACAGTAAGATGGTTATTAGGATATTTACAGTAATTAGCCACCAAAATTTCTAATGGCAAAGAAACTTTCGTTGTCGAATACCAATTCCGAACGAATTATGTTTGACTGCGGAGGAATCACTATATATACAGATCCACAATTATTCAAGAATATTTATTCACCACAGTCGGGCAGTATCGACATATACACAAGTATAACCCCCAACTATATCCAAATGTCAGTACTCCCGTTTTGTGTATACCAAGTACCAGGTTAGGGTTAGATCATAATTTTATTCTTATTTTCCTTATTTAAGTTCTATTACGAGTTCGGGGAATGTCTGTGTTAGTCAAGTTAATATCCCCAATAGGTTTCAGATGCTTTACACAACTTGATGTAAAGTAGGCGATCAAAATTCGATATCTTCATATTGGTACGTACACTTCTGGAGCGCCCAAATGTCTTATAAATATGTATGTAAATGTATGTTATTTTTTTTAAACAACTCAAGTCAAATGTAAGCAAAATCATAACTCAAAACTTTTTGTGTGCGTTCAAAAGTTTGTATACCATTGAAAAACGCAATGTATTCCCACTTCCCAGACAACACTTCGCCAAGTGATCCAAGGAATAAGAAAAATAAATGACTCACTTTGTAAGTGATTGAATAGTCTTGTTGCACACTGACACAAATTATTTCTGTGATGTTTCGTCTGACCAAGGTCCTGCGCATTTAACAATTGTTTAAAAAAAATATGGTGGTTACAGAACGTGAAGTTTTGTCATATTTTATTGCAAACTTATTACTTATGTTAGTCAGTAAAATCAATAACAATGTAATAAGTATTGAACTGAATATTCAGAAGCTATATATTGTTTCAGTTCCGAGTTTTGAAAATTATTTGACAGTTTCTAATTGGTCACACATTGTAATAAATAATTCAATTTGTCATGCTTCCGTTTTTTAAAGTCTCCTTACTTTGTTATGATTTGGTCACATACTAACTTAGAAATAAAACACACTCTTTTGTGCTATTGTGTTAGGATTCCCTTATACTCAACAGAAATGCTTCAATTATTATTTGGCTTGGCGGTAGAGTGCATTGTGCCAATCGTCAGTAATATGCTTGCTGTCGCATTTTCATTTTAACTCATAGTCGAGACACATGTCCCAAACTTGGAAGCAAAAATTTTACTAACAGTTTCAAATAGATTAAAAAAGGAATCCTCATAGATATACAAAATAAAAACTGAGGATGTGACAGAATTCAGAATAATTAACTATTCATCAGACATCCATTTTGGTTGGGGTAATGCTACAAACTTATATATTCGAAGAAAGATTTCATTTGTTTTTCATGTTTATTCTAAAAAAGATATGAAAGCTCAATCCAGTCACTGTGAATAGCTAGCTAGGTAATAATTTCAGATGTACTGACTTGGATGGTGGAGGAAGTCTTTCAATGTTTTTTTAAAGGCCGTCATTATTTCAGATTATCATAGGCTACTGACTACCATTTCGTTTTATGAGGCTTGCAAATTACCTGAGTCACCAGCGATGACCTATTTAATATTGATTAGTCATGGTTGTAACTCAATGAGGTAGTCGCATTATTAATTCTTAAAAATGATTCATTACAGGCTTACAGCTAGTTTATCTACTATCACTAATTTAACCTTATAACATTGCAAATTTATGAAAAAGGAATGACCTCATCCATCGGAATGGACGTTAAAGTACAGGAATACGTCACACTAAAGGTGGGATTGTGTTTTTGTTACAGTGCTTCCTTCTATGACTCCCTTCGGTTTGTTTATACGGGTTGTTCAGGAAGTCTTGAAAAAAAATTTAAATTTTGAAAGGAATTCACTGAATTTATGTGTAGTTTCTTGGACCCTACGGGTGTATTAAATGAATTGAAAGAATTGAATGAACGCTGATCGAAATATATAAAAAAACTGTTAAGATATATTGTGAACCGACCAAATAACAAAATTGTAGTTATCTGAATGAGCATTGGAATGTTTGGATACTAAGTGCACATAATATGTGGATTGCTTTGATAAATTCTCGTCGCTTTGATCCTAATTCAGGAATTCAATTTCAAATTTTCAGTACTTAAAGCAGCTCTATCCTTTTTTTCTAATCTCGTATGGGACTTTATATTTGATCCCAAATTTTTCGATTTTATTTTAATTAATGTGGAATGTTTTTTTATTCTGTCTGGCTTGGCCACCATCACATCTTATCTTGTTGGTACAGTTGTAGATAAATTGAAGCAAAAAATCTAACATAAACACTGATTAAAATAAACAAACCAGCATGTTGTGAACCAACTTCAGAACATCTTAAAAGATTAGGTCTGCCTTAGTAATCTTCTCTGAGATGGCTGGCCGCAAGAATCTAATCCTAACGGGAAAGTCTTCCCAATAGCGCATTCATATTAGAATTGATGACCTAGCTTCATATCATAGATTACCCAATTTACCACAATCTTCTTGTTCAAATTTAACAAGCATATAGTTAGATCCAGGATCAATTATTTGCATTCAGAGATGTGAATCTGAAATAGTTTACTATCAAACTCGAAGTTCGGGCCCGACCCTGCGATAGAAATTTTGACTACTACTTTGCAATGCCAAATTTGTCTGACAATTTGCCTTTGGCCCCCATGCTTGATAATTCTAACAAAACTTATATCTTTAAGGTTCCTTATGAAATTCTTAACAAGCGTTTCCGCTCTGCTCAGAAGACGATAGATAGAGAATTCCATGGCGTAGCGGGGGCTCTTACAGATTTAGAAAGATGCATTGAAACAGGGAATGCGACTGCTGGCAATGTCGTTTCGTTACTTGACGGCGTAGTTGAGAAGATTAACAGCATGAAAAGAAAGGTGGGTTGTCATTACAACTACTTTTCAAATATTTGAGATTTAATTCAATTTAAAAATATTGACGATTCGATTCTGAAATCATCACATATTTTGAAATGCCCAGCTGTGCCCACAAATGCAAACAATAAGCTCACCTCACTGTAAGAATCCTTTGGTTTCAATGGGACAATTGTAGAGTCATCTCAAACATTTTATTTACATGTTCCAATTTAATGCTATCACAAAATAGAGGGCACTGGGCGATTTTGTATTGAACTGCCTTTTATCCTTGTAATTTTGAATCCGTGTGTGGCTGTTGCCTAGGATGCTTGTACCACATAATATTATAAAGATAAATAAGATAACAGAATTTCCAAGTGATATTGATAGGTACAACTATCTGTTGGTGTTATGCAAGACTACCGTAATTACCTTTCCTTGTTCTATGCCTTCGTGAAAATGGATCTATGTGCGTGTAACGCAAGGATGCTGTGGCAAGAATAAATAGGACTATACCAGGGGTGCACAACACGAGGCACGCACGCGTGCCAAATTTGGCACGCCATACGCTCAGACGTGGCACGCGAACGGTTTTGTAAAAAAAAATATTTATGATATACATTAAAATATCACGTTTATATCTAAATCAGCAGTTTTTTTTAGGACATTATAAAATTGTTTCGATAAATAGATATTCGTTATTATGTATTGTTATTGCAATTTCTTTGTTTTACTGGAGTTAATTTACAATACCGCAATTGTGCGTGGCACGCGACAAGATTATTTTGAAAAATTTGGCACGTATCCTTATTTGAGATGTGCACCCCTGGACTATACCATCTGCAGTAGTACAACTATCATTTGATTCAAGAGTCTTGCTACACAATAACATTTATTTCTTCAGAAAAGCATTTCTCAACTATCATGCTTGTCTGAATAAATCAGACTCCAGTCAGACGAAAGTTACAGAAATACATCTGTGTTAGTGTGCAGCAAGACTTGAATAAAATAATAATAATAATATAATCTCTTTCCACTAAATAGCAAGTATATTTAGGAGTTTTCATTAGATCATAGTGTAACTTCTTCAGACAAAACAAGATATACCGAATTACCGAAATCTGTAAAGATAAGAATTGTTGAGCCAAGTTACTATAATAAGAATAATTCCAAAAATGTAGGGTTGGAAGGATTTGTCTCTCTCATCTTGGTTTTATTCCAAAATAGTACTAAATTGACGGAAGTACTTTTTTATTTTCTGTGCTTCAAAACAGGGGTAACAAAACGTGCAGTTTAGACAAGTTTTGAAACATGCTTTTTATATCAATAAAAATTTGAAGTGTGTTATGTGAAGAATATGCCATTTATATAGAAATAGGGACATCCAAGATAGTTTTTGTAAATCATGAATTAGTGTTTGTCTGTGACTTTGTCATTTTTGTATTTCCTAAATCTTGATTTATAATGGCACATCAGTTTATTAATTTTGTTAATTTGCTGTCAATTATATTTTAATTGAAATGTGTGCCAACTAGGCAATTCACATCTGTGCCCTATCAAATATCATGTCTGTTTGAACAGCTGTTCCTGACTGATGTTTATCATTAGGAATGCGTTGTGCCTGTGTTGTACGTCAAACAGTTTATGTAAATAAAATGTAAAAGTTTTCGTGATCTCAAGAAAATGTTAAAAGTATGATTTCAAATTAGCATTTCGTGGCATATTATAATATTTTAAAATGCAGTTTGTGTCATGGCCATGGGTGTTCAAAAGGAATCTTAGTACTGAAACGCATTCAAAATTACTGTAGTTAAAAAGGTGTCCTAAATATTTATTTATATATAGTACTGTATTATCAATTGTAAGTTTTTATAAATTTTATGATCAATGAAAACTACAAGCACAATAAAAACTATTGATAAACAGAGACAAAGAAATTTTTAATTGTCATTAAGAAATTGGATGAAATATTTGGGCACCCCCTTTAATAATATTATATATCTCTATTTCTCCGAATCAGCAAGCAAATTTTCCATAGAGTACATACATCATTAAATAGCTATAAATCTCTATTAAAGTAATCTAAGTATTAAATTTTAATCCATTTCTAGACGCATAGCTTTATTTTTATCACGAGTATTGATTTCTTTGAATGAAGGTGAAATATTTGAATTATTGGTTTTGTGCCCACTTTAACGCTTTTGTCGTGTACAATGAACATTGCTTAGTAGCCACCTATCAAACATAAAGCTCACTCATAATAAAAGAACCAGATTTTGTTTCCCATGGTCATACATTGGTGTGGTAAGCTTGGAACAAACATTTTCCAAGTTGAAGTTTCAATTTAACAATGTGATGCATCACTAGCAATTATTTGTAATTCTGCTTGCAAATTTCAAACTTATTTATAGTTTTGTTACTTATCGCTCTCGATCAGTACCACAGTTTCTGTTTTGGGGATCCCCTAACTTTCGTCACTGTGAACGATTGTGTGAGTAACATTGACCTTCTGCGATGTGGAGCGTTTAGAATGTGGCCAACCAATAAAACACAATTTGCGAGAATAACTCATGTGAAATCATACTCCGTCAAAATTGTCGAATAAAATATCGAACATGCGGAAGATCGATAAGTCGGTCGGTCTCTGATCTCTATCTAGTTTGTTCTCTCAGAGGTCGGAAGTTCAGTGATTTTAAGCATAGCCTTTAGCGCAGGGGTCGGGAACCTTTTTGGTCAAGAGAGCCATAAAAGGCACATATTTTCAATTGCATTTCCGCGCGAGCCATATATAATTTCTTCACCTAATCAGGCCTGAAATTTTTACTCAAAACTCAACACATACAATGTCAATATACAGTACATTTAATGTGACTTCTGGTGTTGCATGTTGTGGCTGAGGGCCTTGAACATGCAACACAAGTTGAAATCTACGATACTCATCAGTGTCACCCCCCTTCCTGTGTATAGGCATCTCCACAGTTTTTTAAAAACTAGCTCCGCTAGTCCGATATAAATATGACAAATAAAGCTTCGAAAAGCTTCTCTCTATTGCTCCGCGACTCGCTTTTTGATGTCACAATATGTTCCAGAATCCCCTAGGTTTGTCACAATGCCTGTCTGGCAATTCTCTCCACGTAACATAGACATGCGCTGGGCGCGCGTTCTCAAACTTATTGGCAAATTTGGCTATGAAAGAGTTTGAAATCTCGTAACAATAGTAAGCTTAGCCTTATAATATTAGATTTTTCTGGGAGCCATATGTCGTCACCAAAAGAGCCATATATGGCTCGCGAGCCACGGGTTCCCGACCCTTGCTTTTGCGGATGCTTTAGAACAAAATTGACTGTGATAATCTCGTCTGAGAAGGATCCGGTTATTTTAGTTTACTTACTTAATTTATCTGAGTTAATGCTCGTAAAACTCAATGAAGTAGAAAAACAACCCTATGAAATAAATAGGAAAAACATAATCTCTTTCCATGAAATAACAAAGTATATTTGTTAGTTTGTCGTTAGATCGTCGTCTAAATTCTTCAGACAAAACAAATACATTTGCTATTTTTCGGAAATGCATAATTATGGTATTCCTATTTATCAATTTAATACAATCTCACTCGAGCATACTTGTGGCAACAACTACATATGTATTTAAAGTAGACAAGGAGAAAGGACCTGCAGCTTGATACACAATATCCACTTATAGAATAGATATTGTTTTATTCAAAAACATGTTGAAAATACATTGATGGAATTGCAATCTCTAAACAATTAAGAAATGTAAATATCCAAAATAAGGCGGGCAATAACAAATATTTTTATGTTTAATTAGCTTCGCACTCCTTCAAAGATTGTTTCCTCCCCTTATGGGGGCACCCCACTGTTCTAAAGGATTAGTATAGGCAAACAGTGGGTTCTCAAAATCTATAACCTTGTGATGCTCATCATTAGTCTGTTTTGCAGCAAAAGACTTTCTTGAAAATGTCAAATACCTTGTTCATAATATATTCAGCCTAATATAAGAACAGTTCCAAAAAAATCAATATGTCTCGCATTTTATTGAAAATGGAAGTATCGAGGAATAAATATAGAATAAACCACCAAATTGCATATTAAAATGGAAAGATCATAAAACTTGATTACTATTAACAAAGATAGGATTTACATATTTATTCAGGGGAGGGGAAAACCAATAAGACGGCTTAATCATATGGCGAACCACGGCCTCTCGTTTGGTTACCAGTTTGTATCAGGAATGTAATTAGTTAGCCAGTTATTTGTTTCTCTAACGCTTAGCACGATGCGCTACTCAGCCGAGCCAAGTTGTACAGGTGCAAACGAAGCCTCCTTGAACATCACTAATAGGTGTTTCCATAATCAGTAAAAACAAAGAAATTTTCAAACTTTATGTGTCTCCGATTACAAATATTTTGACCAAGTTATCAACAGGATATTTCAACTTTCAGGCTGCTGATGCAATTGAACTTGAGGAAGCAAGCGCTAAATTATGTAAAAGAAGAGTCGAACATCTAAAAGTAAGTTTGTTCAAATTTTGTTTGAAAAGCATTTGATAATTTACAAGTTTTGTCCGCCAGAATCCAACACAATTGCAGGTTCTCACTCCAATGACTTGCTCTTAGCCGCCATTATTAATAGTCGTTGCAATTCAACGCATTTTTTTTATAATGCTTACTCTCATATTTTGCATATAAGCTGACCCTACAGATTATAACACACAGCAAATGGTCGCAGAAGAAAATTAATGAAATTGATAACCATAATTATATTATTCATATTATGTGCGTATAAGCCGACCCCTTAGTTCGGCAACTTTTTTTATTTCTAAACTTGGCTTATATGCGAAGATATACGGTATTCTAATTTAACTTACAACTGAACCAACGCTTTTATGCCTCCACTTCTTTTGATTAAAGTTTCGAATAATTTTTTAGGAACATGCCAGTTCTTCTCCCCATGTAGTTGCCCAATGGAAGAAGACAAGATTTGATCGAATGGTTGTTGACCATCTACTACGATCCGGATTTTACAACAGTGCTTTAAAGCTTGCGAGGGATTCTAACATTGAGGTGGGTTATTGTTTAAATTTGGGCGCTCCAGAAGTGTTTGTACCAATATGGATGTATCTAATTTTGTATGCCTACTTTAATAAAGTTGTGTAAAGGAACTGAAACTTTTGGGTAGGGGGTATATTCACTTGGCTAACACAGACATTCCTAGAACACGTAATAGAACTGAAGAAAAATCGAAATAAAATTATGGCCTAACCCTAACCTGGTACACATACTACGGGGGTACCTTGATTTGTGGGTGGGGCTGAGCATTTTGGAATCAAATCGAATATTGTTTTCGAATCAAATCTCGAATAGTTGGGCAATATATAGTTGTATCGACTGTTTTATTGTAATGGGTTCTTTTGCTGCATAATTGAGTAAAAACAAGGTAAACTTTCACTCAGAGTCAGAGAGTGTATCTCAGTTTCTCTGGTGCAATCCGCATGCCACCACCTCTCCCGGGATATAAAATTTGTTAGGCGATGCCGAACTGGAAAATTTCTGGTCCATCCAAAAAATAATAGCTTTTTAGATATTAGTGGACTTTGTGCAGAGCAAATGCAGGAATAAACGTTGCATAAAAAACAAATTATTGTGTCCATTGATTTTGTAGAAAAGAAATTTTCAATCTAATTCTAATTTTTCAGCCTCTATTAACCCTTTTCGTGCGGTGGGCACGTATACGTACCCACGACAAAACTCGCTAGATTGCGGCAGGTACGTTGATGTACTCCACTGTTTTATTTAGCAATCGGTCGCAAACTGTTGGTCTAGTTTTTCCGGGTTTTAGTTTATTGATAAGAAGTCTTCTTCGAGATTAACATAAGCGACGGTAAATCTCGCTTTCGTTTACCATGGGAATTTTATTTGCGGCGGAACGAGGGTGTGTTTTTGAAATTTATGCAAATTTCGGTGTTTTTTGGGTGGTAATAGAAGACATATTATCCCTTCCATCAACCAAAGTATTTTGAGTTAGATAACGAAATTGCTACAGCAATATTATGCTATTGTTTGCCAACCAAGAAGCGGTAACAGTAAAGGATTTAGCGAATATTTCTATTTTTTATCACGGTTTGAGGTTTCAACACCCAAGAAAAAAAAATGCCTTTTTTCTATCCGGTTTGTGACTCAGCCCTTTTAAAAAAATTTTTTTTTAATCGCCAATTGCAAACTCTTTAAATAAGCTTTAATAAGCCAACGAGCCGTCAGTGGGCAGCAGAGGATCATTACTTTTTCGTTAGTCGATTGATTAGTTGTGGGGGTACAAATGCATAAAGTCAGCGTAGCAAATACGATTATTCAATAAAAAATAAAAACCGCATGGAAAGGGTTAAACCAACTTCTTTGTCCAGTGTTACCTTTGAACTGTGTTGAAATTTCCAAACTCTATTTATAACTGTATTTACCTATGTTTTTAGGACCTCGTCAACATTGATGTATTTGTAACAGCATGGGAAGTTGAAAAAGCATTAGAAAAATACGATAGTTCACGTTGTTTAGCCTGGTGCCACGACAACCGATCCAGGCTTCGAAAATTGAAAAGTAATCTTGAATTTAGCCTTCGGATTCAAGAATTTGTTGAACTGGTTCGAATGAACGAAAGAGTGGAAGCTATTAAGTGAGTTTTTTTATTTACGACTTTTGTTAATGGCTTCGAATCAGGCCTTGTACAAGCAGCCATGCTATCTAACGATATGTAAGGGGTTAATATCATATTTTAGATGGACAGGAATCCATTCAGCTTTGTCCCAGGAAAAATTCATTCTATACTTCACTATTGCAATATCTTTTACACCTATTTTGAGAGCGATTTTGATAACCTAATTTATAACACCCTGCGTGAGGTAGGGGCATAGAATTAGAACCCGAGATTTGAAATTTGTGATTCCAACACAGTTGAGTAAAACGCTTGAACAGCTAGGTCACCGTTTCGCCCAGTTTTAAAGCAATTTTCTTAGAGAAAGGTCATGAACACTCACAAAGAAGTGGAGGAGACTAATCTATGAGCAAATTTACGTCATAAAGGCGTACGCACATAAACAACTCATGTGACTTTATTTTAGTTTTAAACTCTGCTTATATGCGAGGATATATGGTAATAATTTTTAATATTTTATCTTTGTACCTCTAAACAAAAGTTATATTGATAATTATTTGATAAGATAGAAAAGCCAATGGAGAGATATTTTTTTAAACCTACTAATAGTCTCATTTAAACCAAATTCCAGCTTCAAATATTTTAATTGTTTTTCCAGGCATGCAAGAAAGTTTTTTGGAGCTGCTGAAGGTTCTCAATTAGAAGAAGTAAAACAGGTATATGTGGGCAACAAGCAAGCCCAGTTAATTTTCACTGGAAATAGTATAGCTACGCTTTTTCTTGTCTCAAATGCTAATTTCATTTACAATCAAACTCAGTTTATTAAAAACAACAGCAGAACAACTTGTAAATACAACGTTAACAGAGGCTATAAAACATCTGCAAGTTAACACGGCCATGTTACAACTGCTATGCTACATGATTGACGAATTATGCAGCAACAAATGAGAGTTACTCATTGTATGAATAATTACATTATGTCGCATATTCTTATTTATATGAAATTACATTTAATGTCCGACCCAATAGATATACCGTATATCATGGTACATCATATCTTCTCATTGGAGAGATTGTTTATATCTAAATACTTTGCTATTGTAGAACCCTTCTTTTTGATTAATTTTGTTGCCAAAATGGAATATTTTCTCAAACTTTATCCATCATATTTGGTATAAACCATAATGGCCACAAAAATGCCAAACATCCAGAGGAAACAGGTGAATAATTTTGTTGCCAGATTTTGGCATTTAAATCTAAACGAAACATTCCCTCAAATTTCGGCTTCCTTCATCAAGTCCATGCTTCCGAAAAAAATAACTTGCTGATCCCATTTCCGACATGGACTGGTGGTCGAGGGGACGTGACTTGCCATATGATTAAGCTGTCTTTATCTCTTCCGAGATAAGTATGTAAATGCTATCCTACTTGGTGAATAATTTGTTATATTTTGCCATATTTTGGCATCCTAATCAAAACAGAATATTTTCTCAAATAATATCCATCATATTTGGTATAAACCATAATCACCACAAAAATGTCAAACATTCCAAAAAAACAGTTCATTTGTGTTTTCTAGATTTATAAAACCTAATTCCTCAAATAGCAACAAGATTGAATCTTATTTAATCTAAACTCCTTGTACATTCCAACTAACTAAAATATAAATAAACTAAATTCTTCGTGCATTCCAACTAGAATATAAATAAACTGAAATCTTTGGGCATTTCAACTAAATTCCTGTTTCGAAGTTCAAGATGTGTATATCACTTAAATATTTGATATCTTCAGTCAAGGCTGTTCCTATCTTGAATTCAGTTATCTCAAGTTGTCATATTTCTAAAATTGTGCAAAATATAAATTTCATTTGAAAACCTTTCAGGTGTAGGGCATTGATCATAAGCAGGAAAAAACATTGCCCATATTTGCAAAAGAATGGACTTTTCTTTCTAGTTATAGTGAAAAATATTTATATTGTTAACAATGAAACACAGAACCAGTGATATGAGTGATTGATGTAAACTAAGCAACAAAGTTTACAGTATCCTATGGAATTCTCTGCTATGTTTTTTTGGTATTTTATTTTGTTCATTATGTCAAAATGATTTTTTTTTAAAATAGGTAATGGGCCTTCTTGCATTCCCTGTCGACACTCACGTATCCCCGTACAAAGATCTACTCTCACACACTCGATGGCAGCAGCTGAAAGAACAATTTCGATACGAGAATTATCGACTTCATCAACTAAGCGATGTATCAGTATTTAAAGTAACTCTGCAATCTGGATTATCTGGACTTAAAACACAGTATCCTTTGAAAAAAGCCTGTTTTTTGTTGTCAATGGTTTTCAGTTCTTTAAATTCTCAATAAGTTTTATTCTGTGACGTTTCATGCTTTTTCAGATTTACAACAGTGATAAGAAAAAAATGTATACATACCGTAATTTCAATTTAGATCAATAACAGAGTAATTATGACGTTTTGAGATGGGTAAAATTTTTCTTGTAATCAATCCTTAAGTTTGCACTCTTTCTTATCTCATTGTTATCTTGTCTGAGAAAGTCTTGACCTGAGCGATATTACTGATATTTTCCAAAAATTTTCATTGAAGTAGGGCCTTGCCAAGTTTCGTTTGAACTCTTCAACTCCTTGTCAAATCCGGTCCACCGAGGTGTTTCATCCAGTTTACTTGTGTATGCTGAAATTACGACTATAGTTTTTATGAATATAAATTCACGTTGAAAATATCAATGAAAATAACGTCATAATGACTCAATTGTTACACTGTGCTACTTATCATTATATAAACGTTAGCTTTTGTAAATAAACTGTTTTACTCATAGTTTTTCATATTGAGCTTTCAGCCTCTGGCCCAGTAACCAAGTCTATAATCTGTAACTGACCCACGTAGAAAAGGAATTGTCCACCCCTGTCCTACATGCTTTGGTGTGTTTTTTCTTAACTTTTCAACTTCAGTCAATGTTATAGAGAAGAAACAAAAAATCCAGATTGTCCGGTTTGCAATCCAACGTTTAATAAACTTGCAGAATCACTTCCATATGCTCACTGTGCTCAGTCAAGATTAATTTGCGGAATAACAGGTTTGTTTGCGTTATTCACAGTTAAAAATATATAGTGCATATTTTTCATATAGGGCGGCCCCCAAAAATACAGAATCCGGGGCATTTGCAACATATTCTAAAGCAGTGGTTCCCAAACTTTTTAGGCCTGTTCATAATTTGTGAAGTCTCGCCGCCACGTCAAAAATAACCAGCTAACCATAACCTACAAGTAACAGATAGCAAAGCGAAAGTATGTTTGTATTCCAAAACACGTTGAAAATACATGGATAGACTGTAAAAAATTAATCACGTAAATGTTTTGAAATGTAAATATCCAAAATAAGGCAGTCACGATCAAATCTTACCCTTGTGGGGCGGGCCACACCGTTTGAGAACGACTGTTCTAGAGAGAACATAACTTTTGTGCAAAGCGTCTCGAATTACTGAAACCTTTGGGTACAATCATACACAAAAAGAAGTTCAAGTGTTGAATAAATTTTCTTGATTTCTGTAAAGTAATTATGAATTCTTGGTTTTTTGTGTGGTACTTTTTTATATGCCTTCGTTTAAAACAAGGCAATGTACAGGGAATCTTCGGAATAACTGAAATCTCCCCTGCTTGACATTGCTCACCTTGTTTTATTGGTGTGGTGGGTAATTCAAAATAACACTAGGTATTCCACAATCAAGACTTATTTGTGTTATAACAGGATTGTTCGCAGTTGAGAATACAAATGATATTTATGTCTCTCACTCTGAACACTTCTTTCACACTTATTCATAAGCATCCTCTGAAATGTAGCTTTATTTTGTAACAATAGGAATCTTTTTGGTTTCGCATTGCCCACAGTATTTGTTATGCCCTGAGGTGGGTGTGAAATTGGGATAAATTCAAACACCTGAGTCTACCGCTGTACCCACCAGACCATCACACTAAGAATAAGGAGTATTTCTTTCATTGATATTATTATATTAGCCTAGATGTAAACTCCTCTACTGCTTTACTCACCACTCCACCACACTAAGAATAAAGTGTATTTTTTTCCTCATACCGGACTGGCTGTAAACTCTGGACACCGTCTTCTAAAGCGGCTTCTGCAGTTTTTATCAAACTTTTTTTTATTTTTTAGGTCAAGTAATGAATGAGAACAATCCACCCATGATGCTTTCAAATGGTCATATATACGGAGATACGGTAAGCCTGAATGAGTGTCACTTTCTTGTCAATTTAGTTGAGTTTAACTGAGAGCGCAAGACTTTGCCAAATTTGTGTTAAAAAAATACAATTTCTTATGGAAGAGCCATGGTGGTTCAAATATAAGATTCCTCAGTTTATATAGGGTGTCCATATAGGCATAAAATATTTTTAAAATTGCAGAGGGAATTTATCTATACCATATAATGTTTTAGCTCTCACAGATGTATTAAATGAAGTGAAAAATACTTGAAAAATTACAATAAAAAATTAAAATAACAACAAACCTGGTTAAGATATATTGAGAACTGAATAACAAAATTGAAATTGCAACGTGACTTATGGATACCTCGTATCAGTTTAATTCATTAAGCCCTTTAACTGAGTGGAAGCCCATTTATCCACTTTGTTGTTCACACCTATTTTACCTGGTCATTTTCGGAGCCTCTCTAAGTGATCAGTTTGTCGGTTATCAGCCAGCAGATGCACAGTAGCTCAGTGTTTTTATTTGCTATCAAGATTCTCAGTTCTGTCCTGATAATCCCCAGAACAAAATGGATTTTTCATATAATTAGTTTTTTATAGTTTTTAGCCATTTCTCTCCCAGGGCATATGAGTATGGTGAGTATTTCCTAATTTCAACTCATTCCTTCACAGGGTCTCTCACTTTTGGCAAAGGATGGAAAAGTTCGTTGTCCTCGTACAAAAGAAGAACATTCGCATATATCTGCTGAAAAAGTGTTTGTCATGTGATTACTAGAATCCTAAGTTGGTTAAGAGGACTTTACACGAATAATATACATGGGTAACACTGCGAAATATACAAGGGGAACACTGAGATACGGTGCTAAAGATGGGACATGTGGAAAATCATATTAAAACTGAAAATTATTTTTATTCATAAAATCGTGCTTTCAAGTAGCCTATCTTTCCTGTTATTTTTAATGTTTTAACTCATATGCCAGTGGTTCTCGAACTTTTGGTGTTATGGAAACTGTAAAGAGATTGACTTGACCCTCTAGTCCGGTTACTGGTTCATGTCGGGTATGTGAATAGCCAGGTATTTGTTTTGTTCGAATGTACATGAAGGTGGAGGAAGCTGTTCATGAACGAGTCTACGGCGGCAAGGAGTCCCGCAATCCTCTCGCACATAATCATCCCCGAGCGATTTGAATCTGCAAACCCATGCATGGTAACCAGAGGTGTAGTGGCGGGCGTTGCTTGATGCGCCACACCATCGAAGTTGTTTCAAATTAATCAATCCCAAGTTTAGCAAGTGTTCTGCTCTGGCAATTACTCTTTTATCTAAATTAGATTGGTGGTTATAAAATGTCTTCTCGATATTTTTTCGGGCATTATGACGATAAGTGTTTGTTTCTCTCTATATTGAGTTTTTGTGCCTCCCTTATTTCTCATTTTGGAAACGGGTATTATAATAAATAAATCAAATTAATTTTGTATAAAATATTCAATCAATCTTAACTATGATATTTTTTCTGATATAGTAACAAAAGTAATTGTCTTGTATTCTGACACTCATTAATTGCTCATCTTGGAATCCATTTTCACTAGAGGTCAGCATGGTGCCAATTAACTGCTTTGCCACTGTTTTCTGTGAATCTTTATGTATTCTAGCGATGATGAAATAGGCCAGGTGTTTCAATTCTTGTTTCAATATATTAAACAGCTGTTCTCAACCTCCCTTGTGGCCCATTCGCGATGATACAAGAATCTTAGTCCCACAAAACCTTTTTGAGTTTATAAAAATGTTTCTGTGTCGATGACCAAATTAACCCATGTGTCTATTTATCAGCTTGTTAAGTTGAACTTCCAAACCTTGGTTCAATTCCAGCTATACATTTTTATCGGGACTTACTGTAGGCCCAATGAAAACTCCACGCCCATTTCAAAAATTTTTGAGAAACACTGATTTAAAACAATATTGTGAAATTACTCCTGGAACTAAAATTTTCAGACTGTAGAGTACTGTCTGTAGACTGGATTCACTCAAAAGCTTTATTGTTGAAAATGGTTCACCCTGGACTGAACGAAGGTCTTTTTCAACTTATAGTGTGAGGTATCAGGCTGCAGCAGGGGTGGGCGAACTATGCGAGCGGCATGGCAGAGCCAGAGAGTCCTTTCTCTTGGAGAAAGTTGTGAAAATTTCTTACAACTACAAAAGAAGTTTAGATTTATTTTTAAAATTGACGAGGTCATCTGATATCATTTTTTGAAAAATCTTTTAATTTAGAATGTTATTATATTATTTAGGATATTACATTTCAACTAAATGTAACTATATTGTATGATCTTTTAAAAACGTAATTACTTTCCTCAATTGGCATTCGCAAAAACAACTTTATCCACTCCGGTGATGTGGACATTTCACTAAGCTGTGCTGTTATCTTTCAGTGGCTTCAGGTTATGTCAGCCTTAGAGTTCATAAATTATGCTCATAACAGTTATTGGTTTGTGATATTTTGATGTTTTTAAGCAGTCCTTGTAACTCTTGCTTCCATGTATGCCTTTTCAAAACTTTATCCCAAAGATGTGCTTTTGATTATTTCTTGTGCTCCTGTAAGAACTTCAAAATATTATTTAAAATATAACAACGTAAAAATTGTAAAGTGTTTGAATTCGAATCTAGTTGGAATGCGGGAGTCAGCATGTTAAGGTACGCTTTTAAACTGACTCTATGAACACCTCGAAACTTGGCGTTGATTTCTTTGCGTTTGATTTTTTTTAGATACCAGTAGATAAATTTATTACCCCTTGGAAGAATAAAGCCGTTAAGACGGCTTAATCATATGGCGTACAACGGCTTTTTCGTCCGATTACCAGTCCATGTCGGGTATGGTAATGGTTAGCCAGTCATTTGTTGTCGTAAGCTTGGACTTTGTGCTCCAATTAGAACAGATTCCAGACATAAAAATGTGATGCACATTTCAGCCGTAAAAATAACTAGAAAAATTGGCATCACGCGAAAAGTCCAATTCAGCACCTGTTTCTTCCTGCTCAATATGAGTCATCTTTATATTGCTAAAACTCAAACAATAGAGAAACCCGGATAACCTAAATAAAAATTTATTTTCATACGTGTCTATTCAAGGCGTTTACATGAAGATCAAACTGACCAATATCATTACATGCGGTACCGTATGTCGTGTCGCAAGTTGAATATTTTCTGTTCAAATGTAAGTGTCAGTCGTACGCGGATGACTGCGATTTCTGATTAGTGATTGTCAATGCAGTAGAAGTCAAATATAACCAGTGATTGACACAATTTTGGGCGCTCCGGAAGTATTCGTACCAAGATGACGCACCACCTAAACAACCCTAGCCTGGTACGCATACTATGTTCAGGTTGTGCGCCATCTTAGTACGAATACTTCGGGAGCACCCAATTTTGCAATACCTTCCCCATTACCACAGTTGAAATCGGTAAACTGAGTGTATTTAGGACGATGCTATAGAGTTAAAAAAAAATTAGGATTTTTGTACAAAGCATTCGCCAAAAAACCATCCCAGGTAATACCGGGATAATAAGAAAATTAGTAATTATCTAGTTAGGTTTAGAAATGCAGATTGAGCTGAACATTCAAATCATTCCTAACCCTAACTAAGCCCAACTGGATAATTACTAATTTGTTATTTTAGGACGTGGCGGGGTGTTTTTTAAATCTTGCGTTAGTTGCGGGGCCTTTGTACAAAAGATCCAAAATTAACACTCCGCGCTAATTACCGACTCGTTGTAACCCGAAATGTCCACTTCTACTCTACTCTACAACCGCTATAGTCATATTTAAACAGAGATGAATTGATTGGTCGATTTGAAGGATTAAAATATTCAAATATCTGAGCACAGTGAAAATAACATGATCTCTTTCAACGAAATAGTAAGTATATTTAGTAAGTAACACAAATATATATACTTACTATTTCGTTGAAAGAGATCATGTTATTTTTACTTTTCACTTTAATACTATCTCGTTAAAGCATCCTTGTGGTGAGTACCACATACGGATCCGAAGTAGAAAGTAAACAAGGAGGAAGGACCTGGAGTTCAATATACAATATCCAAGTTCCCTTAGTATTGGCATCTGGGCACAGGTTTCTAACTATTTTTGATGCATCACGCATCTGCATCTGCATCATGCATCTGCCGAGTGTTACTAGAGTGTTAAGGTGTTTTTGACGAACGCGTTGACAGCCTAGTATGGTAAAAAGTCGCCAGCAAATTTGTTTTTATTTTCAGGCCGCAATGTTATAGTTTGGTTGTAATTTTTTTATGCGAGTTTGCTCAAGTATAGCTTGGGAGTGGGAAAGTATTTCTAAAGGAATTACAGACAACCAGAAGAAGAGTAAATCCGCTTATAGGCTTCTCTTTTGTGCTCGGAATAAAATCAAGTTGCAATGGGAGCATTCAAATTGCTGTTCATGTGCATTGGATTTGCCACGACAGGTAATTACTTTTTACTTTTAATATATATTGATAATTTGCTTGCCAGAATTCTTCAAGCATATGACTAAGCTTCGACTGCGTTCAGGTGGTATTTTGTAGAATTGTGATCTCACTCTGAAGTATTTCGGAGTTGTAGTCTTATTGTCAAATTCACGGAGTCGGATTTTTTATTTTCATATTCCCCGAGGGCCGGATCTTAATTTCAAACTATACGGAATTGGAGTCCTATTTTTGACATCTCCGGAGTCGTAGTCTCATTTTCAACTACGGATAGTTAGAGTCTTACTTTCAAACTCTCCGGAGCCGGAATTTTATTTTTAAATTAGGAGATGACATGGTCTTATTCTCAAATTCTTCGGAGTCATATTTCGAAATTATCAAGATTCGGTGTCTTATTTTGAAATTCATAGTCGTAGTGTCATTTTCAAAGATTAGAGTTGAAGTTTTTGTTCCTATGATAACGTGGTTTATAGAAGGTTCGTAACAATTACTTTTCTGGTAAGGATTGTACATCATGTATAATACAAAATGCCTGGCGCTCCGTAGGTATTCCTCCAAGATGACGCATAACCTGCACAACCCTAACCTGGTACACATAGTATGTTCAGGTTGTGCGCCATCTTAGTACGAATACTTCGGAAGCACCAAATGCCTAATATACTATCCAATTCAAAAGTCCTGCTGCACACTAACACAAAGATATTTCTGTAACGTTTCGTCCGCCCAAGTTAGACTTCCTCAGACAAGCAGTTTACAACAGTTGTTGTTTGTGTTAATGTGCAACAGGACTCTTGAATTAGATGGAATAGTCATGTTTATTCCTGCTACAGCATCCCTGCAGTATACGCACACGGATCCATCAGCATAAAAGAATAGAGCACGAGTCGGCAATCTTTTGTCGTTCGCGGGCCAAAATTAAGGGTTACAAGTCATTGGCGGGCCGCATATATTTTTAGAAAGTTGAAAACCGAACGGTTGATACTTTTTTTAATAAAAATTGAGCAGTGATACATACATCTTTCGAATAGAATATAGATTTATTTCCTCATTCCATCTGAAAAAAAATTCATTTAAATATTTTCGGCGCCATTGAACCCTTTGTACTTTTCTGCGTTTTGTTGCCATTTGTTTAAATAATTTAATTATAGGCTTATTAAACGAGCAATTGTGAATTTTATACTTGTTAGATTATAATATAATTTAATCGGCACCTGTCTCACAATAAATTCTGTTACTTAAAGAATGTACTTGTCAAAACAGCTGTTTTGTTATATTATAATTCAGTGAAGCGTCGCGGTCCGGATTAAAGGTAGGTTGCCGACCTCTGCCATAGAGGAAGGATGGAGAGTTAGTCTCGCACAACCCAACTCCAAGTTGCCTAATATACATTGTGAGAATTATAGTTCGTCATTCATGATCAGCAAATTGCTAAAAATTATTCTTTTCACATTTCCAGTCGACATTTCTGTGAGAGTTCAATTTAGAAGCAGTGCTGTGATGACGTCATACCGGAATAAGGAAACGATCACGGTTAGTAGTTACTATGCATACCATGGTTATTTGGATGTCTATTAACTAGGGCTGAGAATTTCAGGGAAAAAACTTTAACCGTTAGCCGGGTAAAATTAACCGGTTAACCGCAGCATGACGTTTGACGTAATAATTTATAGTTTTAGCTTGTTACGCCACAATGTTTACAGAGCCCTTTCGCGTGTGATCTTATTTCGTTATCGCTCAAAATTATTCAAAAATATTATTTCGATCAACCGGTTAACCATTTCCGGCCCTACTATTAACCCTTTTCAAGCTGACTTAATTTTATTGTTTTATTTTTTAGGCAGAGAATGAGGAAGGTGAGTTATGGGTTTATTACTACGTTATTCTCGTGATATGACACCGCATTTTTCAATAAACAAAGTTACAGTCTACAGCAGTGGTTCCTAAACTTCTCATGCCGCGCCCCCTTTTTAGAATTTGTCAAGTCTCGCGACCACCTCAAATATAACTAGCTAACAATAAGTTACAAGTAACAGATAGTAAGACTATAGTATGTTTTATTCAAAAAACACGTTGAAAATACGCGAATAGAACGTAAATATTGGAATATATAAAAAGTTTTGGAGTGTAAATATCCAAAATAAAGCGGGCAAGATCAAATCTAAAAATATTTATATTTTTAATAAGCTTCTCGCCCCCTCAAAAAATTGTCTACGCCCTCTTCTGGGGCGCGTCCCATCGTTCGAGAACCACTGGTCTACAGCAGGGCCAATTCAGCCCGCCAATGACTTGCAACTCTTAATATTGGCCCGCGAGCGACAAAAGGTTGCCGACCCCTGATCTACAGGGTTTGAAGTAAGATATTCAAAATAGAATCGCACATTTAGCAGATAAGGGCAACTCAGTGACGCATTTATGGGCTGTGGAATTTGAAACCCTTCTTATACCGGAGTCGAATTTGTCAAACTATCGCAACATGTCATTTGAGCGGAAAACTCTTGTCTTCCGATTTTTATCATCTAAGACAGCGGTTCATAACAAGGGCGCCAAAGGAGGCGATTTGCTAAGTGTGACCCGTGGATTAACAGAATTGTGTTGAACATAACTAATATATGATTTAATGTTAAACATATTGTATTTATTATAAATGTTCTAGTGTTTCTTATTTTGAATATTATTTATATATAAATAAATGAATTCATTTTACCGTTCTATGTCATTACTTATCGATCTTCAGATCGGTAAGTATGTTGATAGGTATCTTTCTGTTTGTCTGTTAGACGCACGCGATATCTCACGAAGGCGTGGTTGAATCTGCTCCAAATTTTGCATGTGCATTCATCATATCTCGGAATTATGTCGTATAATTAGCGAGTTATTAATTAATTAGTGATGGGACACACAGTGTCACTATAGAGTCGCAGTTTCGATAGATAAGTCTTCGGTCTCCGACCGATATTCTCGTTTAGTTTTTGTTACATAGTGTATTTTTTCATGTATAAGTTCCCTGTGAGTTTTTTTACTCGATAATTTGGCGCCGCACGATGAAAAAGATTGAGAATCCCTGATCTAAGAGGTTGGGAGTTGAAATTTTTGTTTTGAATACTCAAATTTTAATTATGGAGTTGAAGTAAATACTTATCAATTATGAATAGGTCGCCTGACATACCCGACAGAAAAGTAGAAATTGAGAATATCGTTGATAGTTTTTGTTTTGTGCAGAATTGAGAAAAAAATTGAATGAAACACTGGAAAACGCGTTGCTGGATAAACAGATTGATGAAGTCACCATAACAACCAAAGTTTACCATGGCAACAAGGTTTATTCAACCCAAGTCACCAAGTTCGACGCAACAGCTCCAAATGTACTGGATGACACAACTTTCGTTACCGCTAAAAGTAACGACAACAGTAAAGCCGTATTGTCCTCTACAACAAGAAGTACCAAAGAAGATCATGACGACATAACAACAACTGTGATTGAAAACGTGTTCACAATTCGACCAATCACTTCCATTGCTTCCACTAGATCCATCCAGAAGTCGCCTGCGACTGCAGGTTAGACTAAAAATTTTTGTAATCACCCTGAATGAAGGAAAATATGCTTAGATTGTTTGGCCGAGATCTTGACAGTCCCATTACACGTCAAGCGTTTAGTTAGACTGTCCGACAATATGTTTCAATGAATGGGTGTATGCTGTTCACACATCTTGGGTTCTAACCTATAATCTACACCTCCCTCAGTGTGTCATAAATTTAGGCAATGGCGAACTGGGAAGATTCCGATTCTTAAAAAATATAGTAGGCCAATCAGTTGTAAAATGCTTGTCTGAAGAAGTCTGACCTCGGTCAGACAAAACGTTACAGAAATATATTTGTGTTTGTGTGCAGCAAGACTCTTTAATTAAATAGAATAGCAATTTTCACTCTTGCTATAGCATCCTTGCGTGATATGCATACGGATCTACCTGCTCAAAGGCATAGAGCAAGGAAAGGTAGTTAGTTTCACGTAACCCAACTGTTAGTTTCTTTTATTTATATTCTGAATATCTGACTTCAAAGCATGCAAACCGTAATCTTTGTTTTTAGAAAATTGTGGGTTCATTTACGAGTCGAAGTGCTTTCGAGCGATCGTTTATGACACGCCAAACGTCACATTGTGCGTTGCCCAATCTCTATGCGAAAACAAGCTGGCCAATATATATGACAGGGGTGGGCACAATTTTTTAGTATAAGAGCCGCATGCTGCAAGTCAGAACTTTAAAAGAGCCGCAGAATTTGTGAATTTAATAATATTATCAAAATACCATGAACAGAAAAGAAATTCACACAAGAGACTACTAACAATAAATAGATAAACAAGGCAGCTATACTCAAATATATGCACAATTTGAGCTCATTTAATTTGTGTTTCCTTATAGCTGATTTACGAGGGTAGTCTCGTAAGAAGTTTTCATGATTCGTTTCATGGTGCCGTTTAACATTGCTGACTTTATTCTGACTTAGTAGCTTATGACAGATTAAGCACAAAGGTTTATTCTCCTGACTGGTAAATGCGTATTCTTCTTCCCATTCTGACTTTACAAATCTGTTTTCATCTTCGTACTTTCATTTTTTAATTGAGGACATATCGCACAGTAACTTTGACTAACTAACCGCAATCAATCTGCAATACCGCCGACGCATCAATAAACATTGACTATTGTGACGAAAGATTTGCTGACTTGATTGACTTAAATTCAAAATTCAACGCTACAGCGATTTTCATACTAAAACATAATTTGTCCTAATTATTAACGAAAACTTCTTTACGACTTTTAATGAATTAAAAGAGTTTACATTAAAGTTTTTCTCTTAGTTAAAATTTGGATAATAATTTATGTTAGCGAGAAGAGCCGCGCAAAAAGTCTGGCGAGCCGCATGCGGCTCGCGAGCCGTGGTGTGCCCACCCCTGATATATGACGTAACACACTTCAAGTTGTTGCAAGATTATTTGCGCACAATGATACCTGATGGATGGAACAACATTCATATACTCACGGGAATGACCTACAAGGTGAATCGGATTGGGGTATGTTGATTATGTTACATTGCATGAACTCACAAATCCCATTTGAATCGAGCATGCATATATTATATAATAACACTGAATAAGGCTATACTTCAAGGGTCTCCAACACGCAACAGACAATCTTTTTCCGCCCGCGTTATGGTTAAGATTTTTCCATAAAAAACTAAAATAGTAACATAGTAAGTTTTAGTAAGCAATAGCAATAGTAAGTTTTATCGTGTCATTTAACATCAAGAGACCGGTCCGACAAACTGTAAAAAGTGAAGCAAAAATTTCCCCTTGTTATTCCACTTCACCACGTTCATATTTTATTCTATTGGAATAATTAAATTGTAAATTCAATAATTTCATTTCGCTATTTTGCAACTATGAAAGTTAGCTAGTCAGCCCTCCGTACAAGACTAACGAACGAGCATTTGAATGTTGTCTCAAGACTAGCAAACCAATGCAAAATACGGCCAAACATCGAGTCTCTCACCTCGACAAAACGCTGCCAAATATCCAGCATAAGTAAATGAATATGTTTCATGTCTAGTTTTGGTGTAAGATGCAAGTGTAGTTCCAACAAATGCATTCAGATTTCTTTTGTTATATTTCATGTATCAATTTTGTATCTAATTTGTTGGTCTGTGTCCCGCGTCGTCAATACAGTTCAAAACGTGGCCCATGACATATTTTCAGTTGAGGACCCCTGCTCTACTCCAATCCAATATTAGCAAAAATATTAACCCCGGACTATGACTCCATTTTTGTGACTCCGTTCCATTTTCATCCACCAACAAGTGCGACAGAATATAATAATCACGTGATACTGCCAAGTTTCATTAGGTTTCTTACTGGAAACATAATAAGTTCATTTTTCTTTGTCAGATCATTTAAAATGGCGCTCCGGGAGTATTTGTACCAAGATGACGCACAACCTAAACAACCCTAACCTGTTACACATACCAAGTTCAGTATATGCGCCATCTTGGTACGAATACCCCGGAAGCACCCATTTAATCACTGGTTTATATCTCATCAATCATACACAACACTAATTCTCTAATCCTTGTTTGTTTCTGCTGTATTTCTCAAAATGTGCATTTTATTTCAACAGGGTGGTCCTGTATATTCCACGGAAGATAAAAATTCGTCGTTACCAAGTGAATCTAGTTATCCTCATCGCTCCTCATCGTTGACTGCTGTTTAGGTCAATGTCGATCAAAACCCAGAAGCCGTGCAAGGCCTTTTTAATGAGCCTACCTACTGGCCTTGTTGTGGAGCCATATGTGAAAATTGATTATACGTTGTATGTACGTTAATTTATATGAAATTTATATGATACATACGCCCGCGGGGTGTAGTATAACTACTAATCACATGTATATAGCCGTTAATAACCAACACTTTTGCTTGTAGAATGCTTTTTCCACACTTGTCACTTGACACACCCTGTTTCCCCAAAAATAAGACTGGGTCTTATTTCAATTTCCCTCCACAAATTAACATTAGGCCTTATTTTCGGGGAATTTCTTTTCATTTATTTTAATATTTTCATTTATCAAAAACAAAATCACAAAGTAGAGAATTGCTAGGTTTCAAATATACAAAACATGAAAACCGATATCCGTTTACTTATAAATAACACGTTTTTATCCAAAAAACCTGCAAAACATAGATTAATTATTAATCATTTAAAACGTGTAGGAGAGATTTCTTGCTATCAACTATGTAAAAAAAATGTTTTTTGAGTTATTGACTAGATCTTATTTTAAGGGCAGGGCTTATATTAAAATAGTTTTCAAATATCAAGCTAGGTCTTATTTTCAAGGAAACACGATAGTTTGTGTAAAAAACTTGAGTTTTTCATTTATTCACTCGAAAACAAGACTTTGCACTAATAATCACTTATACTCGTGAAAAAATCGTTTTGGCTTCTAGATCGCGCAAAGCTTTGATTTGATTTAGAAGTGGCGTGCCGAGATATAGTTCACTTATTCATTTCTCCTAAGAATCGATTCCATTGAAGCCAAATTTGGGGCCTGTAGGCTGAACCGATGTGGTGGGAGTCTTGCTCACTTATACAAATAAACTAGCTTCTCTTGAATATTAATTTCAGTAAAACTGCATTTATTTTGTTAAATTTCTGCCGAATAAACTATTTCTTGTTACACGAATGCTTGAATTTATTATTTATTTCGCGATTTGGTTTATTAAAATATGTCCAAGTAATTCAAGGCTGGGATTTTCAACATTTTTTATGTTTTATTTTGACTGAACCACAATAAACATTTGAGAGACATTTGAAACATCTAGGAACCCCCGTATCGTTGATATTATGTATAGTATATATATGATTATATTTGTAATTATAAAACATGCTAATCAATAAATGTGAAGATCTTTCACGAAACACTAGCGAAACACGCCTATTAAGTCCATGTATTTAATTATATTTGAACAATACAATAAGCTATAAATAATATATAATAAGGCGATGTTTTATCGAAAAACACGTTGAAAATACGCGGATGGAACGTGAAGATCAAAGATAAAGAAATGTGAATATCCGAAATAAAGAAATGTGAATATCCAAAATAAGGCGAAACGGAAAATCTAACAAATATTTTCATTTTCAATTAGCTTCACGCCCCCTCAAAATATTTTCGATACTGCCGAAGTATGTGCAAGATGGCGCACAACCTGAACATAGTATGTGTACCAGGTTAGGGTAATCAGATTGTGGGCCATCTTGTTACACTTACTTCTGGAGCGCCTAATTGTCTACGCCCCATGTTTTGCGCGCGCCCTGTCGTTTGATATACAAAGAAAATGTAGCTGCAGAACCTAGAGTTCCGCGGAATTCAGGTTGAAATCCGCTGATCTAGGAAAATTGAAAAATATTTGACGGTTCATAGATACAACTCAGTATTAGAAGTTTCTGAGTAATAAAAATTTTCACTAGAAAAGTCATCAGATATTTGTTATTAAACCATATATTGATAATTTTGCTAATTTGGTAAGAGTTTACTAAAACTCAATATAGGTGTGTTCTTCAATTTGATAATATATAACCAAGTCAAACCAGTTTTAATTTAAACTACTTTTCCAAATAAACCGCCATAATTTATTTTGTTCACTTGATATAATTGAGTGAATTAGGCAGTTTTAATATAATTTATCTCAGTTTCACACATTTTCATGCGTTGCTTTTTCGAAATATACCTGTTTGTTATTCACTGTCTAATTATTGCCCCCCCCCCCCTCCCCAAAAAAACATTCAAATATACATTTTTCGGCGCTCCAAAAGTGTTTTTGATTTTATTCGCCTACTATACATCAAGTTGTGTGAAGGGACGGAAACCTATGGGCAGGGGGTATATTAACTTGGCTAACACAGACACTCCCCGAGCTCGTAATAGAACTAAAACAAGGAAAATCGGAACAAAATTATGGCCTAACCCCTACCAGGTACTCATATTTCCGGAGTACCCATTTTATTACCTATCA